CACTGCAGGGCACACCTGTGGACGATGCTGTATTCGCTTTATGGACTGATAAATCAGCAATCAGTCTATCCCTGCATGCACACGAGATGTGCCAATGCAGATCCACATTTTGGTCAGACAAAGTCGGGACCGCCCACAAGCTTTCTTTCAATCAGCCCCACTGTTCTTTTAGCATGGCCTGACCTTAAGGGCTACACCTCACCTATGCCTCAACTCAAGATCCACAATACATTCAGTGAACAACACCCAGACGATGGACATACTGATACCAAAGACCACCCCTTTGGGCTGGATTATCAGTACTGATTTTCATGACTTTGAGTTGGGCATACCAATTTTAAGATGCTTACCACCCACACTTCTTCCTGAAGAGATGGACAAAGAAGTCATCTACACAAAACCTGGAAAGTCAATAGCCCTTTTTATGGTCATGCCCTTGAACCCCAAGTCTGTTGGTCACATCGACCTCACAGACCAAGACCAAATGGTCCTCCAAACCCTAGACATCATGTCAAGGAACAGCCCTGGGGTTGGATTTATAAAACTGGCGTACGCACCAATATGAGCCCAGAAACTTGCGTACACCACTTTTCACGCCAAGGTTGTGATTTATAAAATCCAAACTTGACGTGAAAATGTGCGGTGCCTCACGCCAGCTCTGACCCATGCATACGCTCATTTTGGAGACGGGAAACTGCGACACAGATGGTGAAGTGAGGAATTAGAGCCACACTGTGTAATGATCACTGTCAGATATTTAATTTACCTTCAGAATCAGACGTAGATTTTTATTCAACTTTATCATCAGCWTTCTTAACAGTAATATTTATGCTTCTGCTGCTGAGCCATGAGAACCTTTGAAATAAAAAAACGTAAATCTTAAATAAAAGTTCCAGTGCGCAACTCCCTTCATCTGCTTCCTCCTCAGACGACCCTGACCCACAGACCCCTCCCTGACCTGGAATGCACAAAGATGTAAAAGATTACGTCAAGGGCTGCTTGTTTGAACAGTCAATGCCCAGGTTTGGTACTACATCTTTGTTTTAAAAACTGGTCAGTCCAACACTGAAATCAGAAACATTGCATGTAATCTCATGAATATGAATATGAATATGAACATGAATATGAATAAATCTCTTGAATGGATTATTCCGAACTGTAATTTCGCCTCATGGGATCAATAAAGTATCATTCATTCATTCATAAAAACACAAACCTTTTAACATTTCTGCTTGCTTTCCAAGTCTGTCAAAGACCTCGACCCTACAGCCAATGTTTCAACTGAACTTTCCAGCGATTCCTGAAGTCATATGTGTTGAAATTTGCTCTAGGAATGTGTTTATCTTTTGGTATTAACACTGAATACATAGAACGTGGAATCCAGGCTAATTGTCTTATCGTTTGAGAGAGTGGCAGATAATGTATGTAAATAATATGTATGATGTCACGAGTGAAGGTTGTTGGAGGAAAAACTTTTTTTATTTATTTTTACCTGCAGAGATGAAAAAAAATGTGAACGTTTGTTCAGTCATAAATCCATCTTGCTAATGTAACAGTTGGCTTCTGCTCAGTGCGAAGTAGGGCTGCCACGATTAATCGATTAATCGACGACTAATCGACTATTAAAATAATCGAT